TTTAGGTGTCTCGGGCTACGGATCGAGTACCGCCCTGAATGCTTCTTTCCGGTTCGGAACGCTAATGCGCCTCTAGAGCTATTTGTGAATTGACATCCAATAGTACTTCGACTCGAATTTCGGGTGCTTCGATTCGAGCCTCAGTGCCATCATCGAGTGGCCTTCCGGCCCCGGGTGCCAAGTTGTTGGTTTCATCTTGAAGGCTGGCTTCGTGGTCGATAGGTAAAGCCATTGCTGATTTGAAGTTGTAAGCTGGTGTGTACTGTAGATTTATATCAAACAATCACTATTATCCTTAGCCCCACGGTGGGCGCCAAACTGTTTACCCGAAAAATCAGATAAGGTTAAATTTATGTATGTTTCTAAGGATACGTAATATCCTTTGATACAAAGATAACAATACAAGTATTTTGATTATGAGAATGAGAATGATGAACAGAAAGAATGAATAAGATGAAGCAAGACAAGCACCAGGAGATATCTTTGTATATAAGAAAAGATCTTTTTTTCCAATCTATGCCATGTCTTTAGCTTACAAGGATCCCCTTTTGTAATAGAGGGTCATTACATTATTTATAATAAAATAATAAAATAAAGCATATAGTGGAGAACCAATGATGATTTGTCTCTTCTTCGATTCCCGCCAAGATTTTCTCTCTTGGTGCGGTTGCAATGACTCTTGTCTGTAAGCTCGACACTGGCTCGAACTCGATACTGGCTCGAACTCGATACTGGGTCGGCTTTTCGGTCTTGGCTTGAGTTCGACCTTCGGGGCGAGCATGGTGCATTTCCGACCTCGAAGCAACGCCTCGGGTCGATAAGATTATCGAGCCGACTCCTCGAGCAGCCTTTGGACTCGAGGCTCGTTTGTACTGTCTTCGGAGCTTACTCCCAAAATCCTACTCCGGCTTCTTGCCACTCTATCTCGATCGAACGTAGAAAAGCCAAAATCTATTTTGACCACACACATTAGTGTCTTTTACTAATGACGAGTCATAGCAATATTTTAAATTACCGAGTCAATACGCGAATGTTCATTTGCTTTTCCGATCCTAGACTCATTATATATATTTTCTGAAGACATTATCTTTGGTCCAAAGGGAACAGGAAGATAGAAAGGTAAAAAGCTGAATAAGGCCAAGGAATTGGAGGGGACAGGTGGGGTTGCGGTGGTGCTAAGGGATTGTAGAGGAAAGGACATATTTAAATTTTTTTTTAAAAGGATAGGATATGATACGGACATGGTTATATTTAAAAAATAATAATATTGTACAAGCACTCTCAAAATAATAGTCTCTATATATATATATATATATATACAAATTTTTAACTATCAGATATAAATAATTTCAACTATGGAAAATAGCGGATTCAAGATTTATTGATCGTGGGTGATTCATTAATTTTAGTGTAAATTTATAATGGTCAAATATGATCATAATGGGTGCTAATCAATTACTTAAATTTTTAAGTATTATCTATGAATACATAACACAATTTGGCCAAAACCAATGAGTGCTTTAGCACCCATACTTCAAAACGTAAATCCGCCATTGATCGGTGATCTTTGTCCTATATTTTTTGTTTATTTACTAATATACTAGGAGTATATATTGGAGATATTGTGATAGGATGAGTTAGATATTTTGGAGGTCCAATTGCTAAGATGACTGTGCATGTAATCCTAGATTGGGAATATGTGGTGTTCCTATCTTGTCCTATTACTTCTTTCGTGTCCACATTCTATGGAGTTATCGTCTCTCTCGCTCTCTTATCTTTTTCCTAACTTTGCCTGCATCTTTATGATTGCATAATGCGCACCCATCACCTTCTGTTCGTTGCCCACAGCTACCAATCTCTTCCGCCAGTTCTTACTATCGACAACAACTAAAGATAAGATTTTGAAAGTGACGCACGCAATAATATGAAAGCAAAAGTTCATAAGGATATTATAGCATAGCTCAGCAGTTACGTAACTGTAACAAAAGACACCCATATTGCAGTACCATATGAACGGAACTTTCAAAAGCAGTGCAGCTTTACTCTAATAGTCTATACTGCACTTTAAACTTGATATAATACAGACTCGCATAAGCCAAAGCAAATAGAAACTTATTAAAAGTCACCACTACACACTATATATTATATTAGTTAAAAAGCAATTACTTAAGCTTTCCAGTGAGGACAGATGCACTGGAGCTATAGTATGTAAAACTTAAGCGTGGGGTGGCTTGTCCAAGTCCTCAAGAGGGCGGAAGAAGGTCTTCTCCTCCAAGACGGATGCTGCAGCAGCAGTGGCAGGTGAGGAGTGGAAACCACGTTCCCCACCAGCACTTTCAGTGGCTGCAGGCCCAAACACCCCAGTTTGTGGGTGAGGAGACCAGTATTTTTCTGATTGTGGATCTATCACTTCATCAGGCACAACCGAATCCCGCACATAATCCTCCGGGTTCTTGTCGTACACTGATGTCTGCACTCCCCTCCTGCGCAATACAATTAACTACTTACTAATTAACCCACTTACCTCTTGAATGAAGAGTACAAAATATCTTGTAATTATATCCACATATATAACTCCTTGAGAATTACATCTACAGTAACTCAATGAGTATAGATACATGCAGTAACTGTTGCCACACATGCCCAACATATTTGGTGCCCAAATATCGGGGATACTCACGTGATTATGACACCTTCCAAACCGACCAAACTTTAATTAAACGGCAAAGTTAACATCTGATATAGGCATCTAATAATAACTAATCCAACTTGATTTGCAAGTATACGGAAATGAAAAGGTAGAAGTAAAAAACTAATGTAGACTACACTGCTGGCAAAAGCGTTAGTGTAGTTACAACTTACAAGAAGCTAAAGGATGCACTAAAGAATTTGTACACAATGTTGTGTCTTTTTTTTTTTTAATTCTCCTTCCTTTTATTCCTCTTTCATCTCTCTTTTGTTGGAATTATTGCACAACCCTCTTGTATGCTGTGTGTTGGAAGCAACCGCAACAAGAAGTATATATCATCGTTAACTTTAATCAAGCATACACTTGGATCGTTGGTCCCTAAATGTTTTTAAATTGCAAACATGATCACAATGATTGAAAATTTCACTAGACTGGAAGTTTAACCGCATCATTAACTCCTGTTTCTGGGCCACAGTAAAATTGTTGATAACATTGACATATCACATGATCCAGGTCCCATTTCCTAACCCCCACCAAGAACAAATAGTTTCAACCCAATCATCAGCAATATTGTTGCTTCAAAAAGGTAAATAACTCCAGCTCCACATGCCTTGTCAAGTTCTTCTATCTCATCTTTTTATCTTCAGCTTTGATTTGATGCGGGCCCCTATAGTTTCACCTACAGACCTACTCACCTACTCTTTTTCCTAACTTTCTACTTTTTCCTTCCAAGTTTCAATAAGGTTCCGGTTAGACGGTAACATCTTACATCTAACTCTGCTTTTATTTGTCGTAATATAAAATACTCCATTCGGTCCATACTAAGAGGCCGTTTGGACTTGAAGTTTTTCACTTTTCTTCAAATTTTATTTACTTTTTTTTTTGGAAATTATTGTTGGTCATAGAATTTTCAATTTTCACTTGAAGATAATCTTAAAATTTTTCGAAAATTTGAAAAACTCCAAAAAAATTATTTTTCAAAATTTTTCCTTAGATCACTAAGGAAAATTCAAAGACAACCCAATTTTTTTTTATGTCCAAACACAACTTTAATTTTCAAATACCATTTTCACTTAAAAACAAATTCACTTTTTTAAAAAAAATATTTTTTAAAATTCTTATGTCCAAACGCCCACTAAGCGATTTTTTGGCTTTTGACACATACCTTGAGAAAATACTACTCCTATGGAAAAAAATTATTTTGAATAAATTACCCTTAATTAAATTTTACATATTGTTAGCTTGATATATTGGGATATATAAATAAGAACAAATTTTGAAAAATAAAATTAATTTCTTCTTGATTAGGTGAAAAAACACGTATTTTGGACCAAAATTATAAGGAAAAAATATCACTTATTATGGACTAAACAGTAATAATACTCTATAATAATGAGTAATAATAACAATAATAAACAGACATTGGAAAAGCTCAATGGTTCAGATAAATTGTCACACGTGTGTGTAAGGCTCAGGGAACAATATTTAATGTATTTTGTGCAATTGGGGATATTAGTGGGTGAGACGTTCTTATCCGATAAGCCTTCCACTTCAGCACGCAATATTTTAATTTTAGGATTTAGCATTAGTATATTTGTATTATTGAACAACAAGGAACGGAAAACGTAAGTGTAGTATAACTAAAATAGTGTTTTGGTGAAAATATCCTAATTTACGACCCGTAACTTTGGAAATACATCAAAGAGGAAAGAAATCAAAATAGAAAATCGCAAGATTAGTGAATTTCCGGGAAAATATATCCCATGACAAATCGGACAAAATAAAATATCAGCTAGCTAGAAGACGACGTAATGCGATACCAGAATCCATGGTTGCTAGATCTAACAAACAAATTAAAACCGGTAAAAGCGAAATTTAGCTCCCACAAGTTGTAAATCTAATTGAACTGATCTCGTATTCAGTATACAAGATGCTGGAAACCATTAACCTAAAAAAACCTCATGCTAATAGTTAGCATGATTTTCACAGAAATTAAACCATAAATCTCAAAAGCTACTGCATAAATACTGAACACCAAGTTTGTCTACACTAACAAAATGCTCTACGAAAGCAAACACTGATCAAGAGGTAAATAAGCAGCGTAAAACGGTAAAAGGACAAAAAACTCACAGATACAAATTTAGAAGTAATACCTGCAAAAGAGGGAAGGTGAGTTAGCAGAAGTTCGAGCACTAGCGTAGCTGATCTGGTTCACAACTCGTTTCCCCAAGCTCACGAGTCCACGGCTCTGCAAATTGGCGGCCATACAATACACACTAAAGAAGAAGAAATGGAGTTTTCGCAAAGAATTTCTCTCTTACACACTAATCGGAATCACAAAGATAAAGAGCAAAGCCCCTATGTTTGATGATCACACCCTTTGCCTATATCCCCTTTTTATAGTGGAAAAATGAGCTTAGTTTCTCTCTGTATTCTTAGTTCGCACCTACCCAGTACAACGGAGTACCACTTCCGTCAAATTTTTGGACCGTCATTTAACGGTAACGATTAGGTTAACAGAATATCCATTTCTTAATCCTTTTTTATTCCTGTAGCCTAATGGGATTATGGATCTAAAACAGCGATTCCATATTATAAATAATCAGATTTTGGTAGGGAAAAGTCGTTCGTGATCTAGTACGACAAGGACATCGTTTCTTCCGTTTTGACGTTTTTTTCAAGGCAAAATACGTAAATACCAAAATAAATTTGTCCAAAAACAGGTTTGAACACTTTAATTAAACGGGTATTTTATCATCCTTTATTATTATTCAGAACACTATAATATCAATCTCACAATGTGATTTGCTTTACACACGCGCCATATTAGAGCCATACCAGCACCACATTAGAACCACTCCATAAATTATCTAAATTTTGATATTTTAACCTTCTCGTTTCTTTTTGTCTATTTACATTTTTTTTCCTTACACATTATTTCATACACTAATATATCTCTAATTAATTATTAAATTCCTCTTAATTATATTTTTTTTAATCGAATTCTCATCCATAGATATCACTATAAATTTAAATCCCTTCGATCTTAGTTTACTCTCCTCTCTTTTTTTTTTGTTGCTTTATCTAATTATTTTTAGCTAAATTAATTTCTTAAATTTTCAGAACAAAGAAAAATTTATTGAATAAAAAAGAAGAAGAAAGAAGATGAGGCAGATGGCGAGAAAGAAAAAAAAGGAAGAAGAAAGAAGATGAACATATAGTGGGAAAGGAAAAAATTATTAAAAAAAAAAGAAGAAAAGATGAGTAGCAGAACAAAATTTAAACCAAAAAGAAGCACCGGGG